CAGGATGCTGAGAACCGAACCCAAATTAGCCAAGTACAAGACCAGCACTCTACATGCTGTGCTATCTCTCCAAATCCCATCATTTAACATATTTTAGGATTCACATTTAATATCTATAACTACCTCATTTCCTTTTTTCATTGCTAACAATCCATTCTTTGGATATGAAATTTATTTACTCATTTATCAGCTGATGGGCATTCAGATTGTTTGTAACTATTATGGCCCAGGTATCCCTTGAGGGGAGGTGGGGAGGGGGCAGTGCACACCCTGTGGTGCTCAGGGCTTTCTCCTGTTCCTCACTAAAGAAATGACTCCTGGCAGACTAACACTCAAGAATGGCCGAGATTAATACCAGAAATTTTACTCCATGGCTTGGAGGCCAACCACACATGCTAGGGGAAAAGGGAGCTCAGATAGAGAAGGGAACACCAAATAAAGGTGTTGGGAGGATCCTCCCAGGATGGGAGAAGCATGCTGAAAGTAGACTATAGACCAAACATTATTGTCACCCATTGCCTCTTTTGCAAACCACAACACCCAATAAGAGAGAACAAAAGGGAATGCCCTGCCACAGAGGCAGGGGGGGATGGAGGAGATGGGGGGTGGGAGGGATGCTGGGATCCGTGGTGGTGGGAAGTGGGCACTGGTGGAGGGATGGGCATTTGATCACTGTGTAATTGAAACCCAAGTACAAAAATTTGTAAGTCTACAACTGTACCTCATATGTCTCACTAACAAAAAAAAAAAAAAAAAAAGAAATTACTCCTGGCAGGGCTCAAGTACTCACAGGGTGCCAGGATGGGACTCAGGTCGGTAACATACAAAGCAAACACCTTACCCGCTGTACTATTGCTCTGACCCAGAGACACGCATTTTTAAAATAAATCTCCCCAAGTCAGTCCCACGGCTTCATTCCACTATCTTTATATTTAAAGAAATATAATATCTTTATATTTCTAAAAGCAGAAATTTAGACCATATTTATGTCAAGATCAGAGATTCTTCATTGCAGCTCTAAATAAATAAATAGAACAAACTAAACATTGCTTCACAGTTTATTTTTGTAGACAATTCATTTAAATAAAAACAGGCCATCATAAACAAAAGATTAAAGACCCAAAGAGAATGGGCTGAGGCCACAGGAGGCTGGGTTTGAACCCCAATACTGTATGACCCCCCCTTTCAGCACCACAGAAGAAACCCTAAGCACAAAACTGGGAGTAAGTCCTCAGCACCACTCAGGAGGAAGGGAAAGGATGGAAGGAGAGAAGAATGATGGGACAGAGAATGGATGAATGAAAAGTAGATATATAGAAAAAGAGATAGCTCAAGGTTTAACCCACAGCACCACGATATGGTCCCCAAAACACCAGCAAAGCCCAAGCACAAAGCCAAGTGTGGCCAAACAACAACAACAAAAAAAATCAGTAAAGAGGGATCCATACCACTCAACTTTGTTAAGAGTTAGAGGAAATGTTGGGGGGGGAGGGGGGAATATGGAAATCCCAAGGTTACTCTTTCTAACAGAAACTTTGAAGAGAAAAGTATGTAAAGAACAAATATATGTTTTCTAACTCCCCAGATGAAACAAATGATTTTCAAAAAGTTTTTGCACAATAAACAGATTGCTCAATAATCCAGTTCTGGACAAAATGACCAAAAAAAGTAATAAAAAACCCAAATTAATTAGCCTAACGATCCAAAGGAGAAAAACAGCACTAAGCTAGATAATTAAATTCAGCTATCTGATAAACCTAGTTTATTTCAAAATATTACATTGTTCACATCTACTTTTAAAGACCCCAAATATTGTTCAAGAGTTCCAAACTGATTTGCTGCACTAAAACTCGTAACTCACTTTCTAGGGGCACTCAACAACATAGAGGACAATATATTCTTATTGTGCCATTGCTATTATCTAGTGAGCATTGTAAAAGACAGTCGACTATAACTTACTGTTTAAATGATTCAAGAACCTCTGTCCTCATATAGAAGTGTTTATGAGAATACAAATAATGTAAATCCAATAATACAAAAATTTCATTGCAAGACATGAATGGTAGTTTCATTTTTAAAAAAACACAAAAAACTTGAGAAACCAAGTAGTAAATCTATGTTCTACCACTATCATTAGAATTTTATGTAACTACCCTGTACGGAATTCTCATTCCTTATCAGTAAAACAGAAGACTGGACTCTGATGTTCCCACAATTTTGTTCATAATATGATTTAAAAACAAAAGAATGATTAAAGAGCTCTGAGCTTGAAGGAAAGTAACAACTCACAGGAACAGAAAGATCTGGAAGGCTGTGCTAAAGAACCCAAAATGAAACAATACGTGACCTCATTTGCTGCCTAGATAATTTAAGGTGTAAAATTTATTTTAAAGAATAGGCTGTTATGCATAGGCATTAAAAGTCTCAACAGATGTGAAGAAAGAAAAACACAGTCTAAAATAACTGAAATAGGTCTGATGAGGACAGACAATTCCTGCGCAGAAACGGAGCTCCCAGGACGAAAAGAAAAATATTTTAAGCAGATTGCTCTAAGGTTAAAGATTCTAAACTATGTATGAAACAGGGAGCTATGGCTGGTGTAACGGTGCATATGAAACATTCTTTGCTTAAGTTTATGCCTAACAGGCGGGGCATACAAACAGAAAACATGGCAATATTCAAAAAAAGTTTCAAAGAAAGAAGAAAATTGGTTAATGTTATGTGGAAAGAGAAAGCAAAAAGTAAAACCAAGATTTGTATCTTGGTAGAAAATTGAAGCATGGATGTTATCACCAAACGAAGTCAGCATAAGGAAGCAGTTTCCAAGGAAGCAGTTCCAGTGTCCACTCTGTCTTAAAAATACTTTCAAGTAAAGATCATCCTCAAAACATTACTACCTTAAGTAATCTTTTCTTTTCTTTGAAGCAATATGTTTTATTGGGATTTTTTTTAGAAAGATACGAGGTCAGGGAGAAGGAGAAGTACATGTCTGAGAAAGAACACAGATTTTCCTAGAGTAGAAGTAGGCAAACACAGAAGCATCAAGACAAGCAAGGTAAGTGTTCAAGGGAGAGCACAGGCTTGAAGAGCAAGACTTAAATAATCTTTAATGTCTTTTCTGGTCTTACCAGTTGCCTGGCAAAGTAATTACGAAGAATTTGTCAATTGCTTGATGTTAAGAATTTTCTCCAATTTTAAACTAAATGATCATTTGCTGATGTAAACAAAATTTTATTTTCTTTTGTATTGTAGAGGAAGTAAACTATAAAACTATAAAACCTTACTATGGTGGGGAAAAAATGAACTGCTTCTGTACTTACTACTCTTAACTAAGAATCAATTTGAGTCTGGGAGGTTAATTTCGCAAATGTCCAATAAATAAATAAATATATAAACCCTGTAGCAATATCTAAGTAACTAGCAAAACATTCTATGTATGCTTTAAGCGTTATTTACAAGGACCTAAAAGTGCCTCCAAAATGTAGAGTGAAAAACGCTTAGAAAATTAAAGCAATTGATTGCAATTAATTTAAAATTTAACGTAAAAAGCACCGCAATCTGTTTATAGAATTACAGCTAATTCCTATACATCTATGTATTTTCCAAACGAAGCAATTCCCACGGTGGTGGTCAAGAGGAAATGAAACTACGACCGATTCAGCCAGTAATATACATTTCTTGAGTTGCAAACGGTATCACCTTTTGGGATTATTTCCCTATTCATCCTGTGACCTCTTCAAAGGCAGGCTTTTAGCCAGAAGGCTTTCCAGGTACTTCATAAACCGCATCGTTGATTTCCCATTGATCTATCAAATATTTTAATAATGAATACCTCTTGCAATACTTACCCAGTTTGACCAGACTGAGCTCCTTTGCTCTCCACTCAAAAGCGCTTTAGAAAATTCTCCTTAACTTCCTTCTTTCCTAACTCCTAATGCGTGTTGTTGTTGGTTTTTTTTTAAGTATGCCGAACATAATTATTTTATTTCAGTTCCTCTGGGCTCCACTGATCTACATGCAGCACTTATCCCTGAGTAACAACAAATCAGGCTCCGAACGACAAGTTGAACTTTTTCTTTTCTTTTTTTTCTGCTTTTTGGGTCGCCCCCGGAGATGCACAGGGGTTACTCCCGGCTCGGCACTAGGAATCCCTCCTGGCAGTGCTGGGGGGCCATAAGGGGTGCAAGGAATCGAATATGGGGGGGTGGCGGCGGGCAAGGCAAACGCCCTACCTGCTGTGCCATCGCTCCCGCCCCCAAGTTGAACTTTTAAGAAGACACTTAAGAAAGGTGACAGAAACCAACGTACCCTTCTCTCCCCCGACGACATTCCAATTCAAGGCCACAGCCCCGTCGCCCCCACGCACACCCACAGCGCGCACGCCGGCTCCATACAATGAAGGACCACGACGCAGCTTCCCCGGGACGCCGGGGCGCGGGGCGGCGAGGAAGCGCGGAGGGCGCGCCCCGAGGATGTCGCCCCCGGCACTGGGCGCGACTCCCCGCCGCAGCCCCCGCCTCTGCTCGGCGGGGGGTGCACCCCTTCCCTCCTCTACCACGTCCCTACCTTCCCGGCCGGGGATGACGCCACGACGGGGACTGGACTTTTGCAGGCGCCCGGAGAGCCGGGCAGCGCGGACGCCGCGGCGCACCGACCCCCGCGGCTCCGCAGGCGGCCGGCCGGGCGCTCCCTGGGACGCGGCGCTCCGGAGGCGCACGGCGAGGCCGAGGGGGCGCAGGCACCCGGACGGCGGGCGCTGCGCGGCGCGGGGCCGCGGCCGGCACACGCCCAGGCCACCCAGCGGCCTCCCCGCCCCCTCCGGCTCCGCTCCGGGCCGGCAGACGGCGCCCCCAGCGCTAACTTCGCCGTGGAAGAGGAAGCGACGCAGCAAGTACCCCACTGCGGGGACGGAACGGAGAAAGGAGAGGCTGTCGGCGAGTCCGTCCGCCGGCAGAGCCGCCGACGTGCTCTCGGCCGTGCCCCCCACGGCCCCGGCTCACCTGACGAGGGCACCGGGGCGCCGCCACGGCCTCCGCGATGGCCGTTACGGCACGAGACCTCCGCTCGCCGCGGCGCAGCTCTCGGGAGAGGGGCGGGGCGTCGGCGAGGGGCGGGCGGGGCCGCGAGACCGACGGGTCGCGAGGCCCCTGGCGGAGCGCACAGACAGGAAGCCCCCGCCCGGGCTCATCTGATTGGCTCCCGCGGCTCCTTCCCACCCCTCCCTGACGCGCGAGCGGGCTGTGCCGCGCTGGGATTGGACAGGGCCGGCTCTCAATCAAGGGCCGGGGGCGGCTTGCAGGGCGCCGAGGCTGCGCGCGGCGGAGAGCCAGCGAAAGGTGAGTGGCTCGCTGGCCTCGCGTTCGTCGCCTTCGCCGGCCCTGCTGCTCGCGCAGCAGCCGCGGAACAGTCTTCCTCTCCGGCTTCCCGACGTCACCCCGGTCCCCCGGCCCGACCGCCCTGCAACCTTCCTTCTGGTTTCTGCACCACTAGAGAGTCTTGTCCCTCTAGGACACCTTCTAAGGTGTTAGGGGCGAGGAGTGAGGTAAAACAATGCTGAATTAGGCCTGAAAAAGGGGGCCGGAGAGGGAACTGTTAGACGTAGCCTTAGTGTGAGCCACAACCCAAAATAAACTGAGTGGAAGGACATTCAGCGTGTCCGAGTCTTGGGCGCGGTAGCGGCGGTGACCCCCCGGGCAGACGTCTGTCCTTAGTAGTCGAGCCCCAGCCACTTGACTGGTCGGCGGTCACTTGTTTTCTCTCCGCGCTGGGGCTTCAGGACCCATAAATTACCTCATTCTTTGCTGTCTCTGGTGCCGTGTAGCCGTTGCCTCCTCAGGGAAGCCTGGAGCGGAGGTAATTGCCCCGCGGCAACTGCTGAGACGCTGGTCCCCAAGCTGGACTGTAAACTCCGTTAAGTCTAGACCCCTGTTGGTACTTGGCTTTTCACCAGAGCCTAGTACGTGATGGATGGCCAGAAATTAGTGTTTGCAGCATCAGTATATCTTCCTCTCCCTTCTTTGATATACCGGTTTTGAATTTGAGTTCCAAGAGTTCACGTTTTTCTGCATTTAACCTCGGAGATTCTCATTTGTGTTCTGATCAATGTGATTTGTCTGCCATCACACAACGTCATGCACAAATCATCTACTGCCCCTTCCTGACCTAAGTTTCCCTGTGAACGACCAAAATGGATAGCTAGTGACTTTTTTGTTTAAAGAGTCTTAGTAATTTTGCATTTCCTATGGTATTAGAGACCGAATAACATAAACTACCTCCCCCCCCCAAAAAAAAATAGAGAGAGAGAGACCAACCCCAAAGTGGACTGTGTTTGGAGATGGGGTTGTGGAAGATGATTAAGATTGAAGTATATTCTTATATGATTAGAAGATATATTAAAAGACAGATATAGGTTAAACAAACTTTGGTGCATCTACACAGTGGAATACTATGTAGCTGTTAGAAAAGATGAAGTCCTGAAATTTACATACAAGTGGTACTACATGGAAAGTATCATGCTAAGTGAAATGAGTCAGAAATTGAGGGACAGACATAAAAAGATTACATTCATCTGGGGGACATAAAGTAGCAAAATAGGAGATTAATACCCAAGAATAGCCGAGATCAATACTAGGAGGATTACTCCATGACTTAGAGGCCAGCCGGGCATGCTAGGGGAAAAGGCAGCTCAGATAGAGAAGGGAGCACCAAATAAAGGGTGTTTGGAGGATCCTCCCAAGATGGGAGATGCATGTTGAAAGTAGACTATAGACCAAACATGATTGCCACTCAATGCCTCTTTTGCAGACCACAACACCCAAAAGAAGAGAGAGAACAAACAGGAATGCCCTGCCACAGAGGCAGTGTGGGATGGGGGGAATAGGGGTGAGAGGGATACTGGGATCCATGGTGATGGAAAATGGGCACTGGTGGAGGGATGGGTATTTGATCATTGTATAATCGAAACCCAAGCACCAAAAATTTGTAAGTCTACAACTGTACCTCATGGTGTTTCACTAATAAAAATTTTTAAAAAATTAAATCAACAATTGACAAAAAAAAGACAGCTATAAAGAAGGTGCTCATAAAAGAAATACCAAAGAACTCAGTCTCTCTCAACCACAGAAGGACACAGAAGGTATCTGTGAACAACAAATTGATGACCTGAACCAGTTTAAGTCAACCAGTGTAGCATTTTGCTATGGCAGGCAAGCCTACTTAATCAATTTTTATTTATCGTCACAATTGATATTCATTTGTGAAAATGTAAAAAAGTATTCTCATTGATTGAAAGGAAATTATGACAGTGTTCTATCCCGAGCACCTAATGTCCCCTATTCCCACCCCATCAGGACAGCCCCAGAGTCTGTTTGGGATTCCTGGTGACTCCCAAGCAGTCGATGTTGAACCATAGCAATCAGTTTTAAACTTGAAACCAATCCAATATCAAACTGAGAAACAGACTTGCTATTAATATACTAAATACAGCAATAGGTTTGTATAAAGTTATGTTAAGCCACAGAAGAAGGGGAATCGTGCAATATTCTACACAATAGTAGAATATTACCAGACCAGAAGATAACTAGAAATGTAATAGCCAGATTATGAAAGTTACTTAACTTTTTATGAGTTATTTAGACTTTATTCTGTAAACAATGAGAAGTCATCAAAGAGTTTTCTTTTAGAATGGTCTATGGTTTGATGGGGGGGGGAGTGGGAGGGGCAGAGTGATAGTATATTGTGTAAGACACTTGCTTGCACATGACTGATCCTGATTCAATCCCTTGCCCTCCTTATGACTCCCAAGCCCTGAGCACTGCGAGGTGTGACCCAAAAAAATACAAACAACAACAACAGTGTGATGTGGTTTTCTTTGAATTTATTCTTCTTGGGATTCTTTAATTCCCTAGACCTGTGGGTTGCTGGTTATTTGTTGGTTTTATCTGGTTTGGAAATTCAGGCACCAATGTTTCTTCAGAAATGTTATGTACTATACTATCTACTCTCCCTGAAACTGCAATTATACTTTTGCTAGACTTCTTAGTCTTTACAAGTGATTCCAGTCTCTCTCTCTCTCTCTCTCTCTCTCTCTCTCTCTCTCTCTCTCTCTCTCTCTCTCTCTCTCTCTCTCTCTCTTCCCTTTTTCTGCCTGTGCTTCAAACTGGGTAAGTTTTACTGAGATTTGCTATCTAATAATTCCTAGAATATTATTAGGGAGTGGTGATGACTCCTAGGAATAGTGAAAAGAGGAAGCAAGATTGGTTTGATTTTCAAGTATCATAGTTTAGAGAACTAACTCAGTAGAGCTATAGCATGGATCCCTGAGGGACTGCTATTGAGATGGAACTGATACTTCTCAGAGGGATATGATAAAGCTGGTTGTAGGGTGGGGTGTCCAAAGAAGTGCAAGGCTGAGATCTGTTGCTGCTGAAGCAAAGGGCTGTTACTTACTGCTGTAGTAACAATGATGGAAACTAAACAGGAAGGAGGAAGTTCTTTCTCCCTACCTTCCAGTCTCTTTCTAATATCCTTTATTTGTAGAACCTAGTGAGATACAGCTACAGAGGAAAAATGTACTTTGTAGGGTCTGGGCCTTAGTACCATACAAGAAAATATAAGGATGAATTTGTTATTACTGTTGAGTTTAACTAAAAAAGTTTCATGTCAATATTTGTGTTAAATTATCAAAGCTACAACTTAGACCCAAAGTAATATCACCTGTATGCTTTGGTTTTGGGTGTTTGTTTGTTTTGTTTTGGGGCCATACCCCGTGATGCTTGAACTTACTCCTGGCTCAGTGCTCAAATACCACTTTTGGTGGTACTGGGGGAACCATATACAGTGCCCATGATCAAACCCGTGTCATCAGCATGCCAAGAAATTGATGCTGTGGTGATGGAACACAGGGCTTCATGGGATGGGGGCAGAGCCGGCCCTTCCCCCCCAACCCCTCTGAGATCCCGAGTTGCCACCCATGAACCTGGCTGCTGATTGAGCTGCTTATTGGCCATGATCCCAGAGACTCAGAAACAAAGCTTGGAACACAGCAGCTTTTGGCAGAAATCCCTCCAGATTTAATTATTAAAACTTTAGAATTCCAAAATTGCGAGGCCGCTTGTCATTATATGCAATTCATAATCAGCAACAGAAAATAAATTCTCTAATGCCTTTTCAGCAGATCTGAGTGTTGGGGTAAAATCCCAAATAATATTAGTGGATTTGGTGTCGAAATATAGAATGTAATCAAAGTAGAGAGAGAGTAACGTGGAAATCATTTGCCACACAGGTAGGGGGAGGGTGTGGGATACTGGCATCTTTTGGTGGTGAAAATGTGTACTGGTGAAGGGTTGGGTGTTTCATCATTGTATGACCGAGACTTAAACCGAAAACTTTGTAACTGCTCTCACAATGTTTCAATAAAAAAAGGGGGGGGGGGGGGAATTGATGCTAATATCTCCCCAGCCCTTGACCTTTTATGCTTTTACAGAACTTTAGATATTTGAAAAGTCTCAGGATACCATGCCATACCATTTTTCTGCTAAACTGTGATTACTGCACACGTCTTTTACAGGGATAATAAGTGCCTTTAAGAGGCTAGAGAGAGGAGCTGGAGCATGAGCTTTACATACTGAAGAGCAAGGTTCAATTCCCAGCACAGCATTGGTCCCTTAATTGCTACCATGTGTAGTCTAAAAACCAAACAAAAGAAAACAAAAGTGTCTTCACTATAGTTCATACACATACTTACTACAAAGTGAAAGAAAGAAAGAAAAAAAGAAAGAAAAGAAAGAAAGAAAGAAAGGAAGGTAGGTAGGTTTGGGATGGAATTTACAAACTAAGGATAGTAGATACCATCCCACTCCCCTTCCCCTTCCCCCACCATACTAGGACACCCCCCAATCATGAACAAAGTGGCATAAGTGAAGAACAGGCAAGAATTCAGTCTTCTCTCTACCTTCATTTCCTATTCATTGTCTAATGTAACCACAGCAAGAATAAGACCAGTTTCCTACTCTCGGGCAGGATAAGAACCAGTGTCACTGAAAAGCCAGCATTTTTTTGTTTGTTTATTTCTTCAACTCAAGCTCCCTTACCTAGCCCTATCATCTCTGTATTTTTTTTTTGTATTTTTTTGTTTGGGGGTCATACCCAATGGTGCTCAGGTAATACTACTGGTTCTGTGCTCAAGAATTTCTTCTAGAAGGACTAGGGGACCATATGACATGCCGGGAATCAAAACCAGGTCAATTGAGTACAAGGCAAGGGCTTTATCTGCTATACTATCTCTCCTGTCCCTCACCTCTAGTTTTCTAAGACACGTAGAAGACAAAAGTTTGCTGTTTTTATTTCATCTTATATAATATGCTTTTTACATATTAAGTTTTCTGAATATTGAAAGGTTTTTGTGGAATATTTATAAAACATTGAACACGAACAAGATTTTTTGTTTGGTTTTTGAGTTTTTTTGGGGGGTAGTAGAATTGGATACTCAAGAAATCTTTAGGAACTACTCCCAGTAGTGTTTAGGATACCATGTGGTTCTAGGGATCAAACCCTGAGTCCCAGTATGCAAAACATGTGCCTTGCCCTTTAAGCTATCTTCACCAACCCCACAAAGTATTTTTTTAATTAAAATATTTATTTTAGCTTTTAGATCACATAAACTCCATAAGTGTTCTGTTCATTAATGATGGAGGTTAACATTCTCCTTGTACCATGATTAGACCATAATTTCTTCATAATTTATTAGTAACTAATGACACCAAGCTCACAACATCTCAATTTTTGAATATATTTTAATATATTAGACTAGAATAAATTTGTTTACATCTGCATATACGATTTGTTATATAGCACTCTCAAACATCACAGAAAACAACATCAAAATGGCAGTGTAACTATTAATAACTGGCTATTAACAGATAATACTAAATAGGTATTCATTTTATGGGAGAATCTAGAATTTCCTGGTAATCTTCCCTCCTTCTTAAGTTTCTCCAGTAAAGTTTATAGCCAGCAAGGACAAAAACACTAGTCATAATTATTACCCCTCCAAAGATGTCATAAACACTGGGAAATATGTGTAATACTAGCAGCTGCAGAATCATAGCTACGACAATCTCCAGATGTTGTACTGTGCTGACCAAAGCTGGATGGAATTTGTCTAAGGCATAATAAACTCCTAAGAATGCTGCAGTAGAACAAACACAAATAGCAATGAGATAACTCCAGGTTTCCCCATCTAATGGGATGATTGGCTCTTGAAGAACAAACATAGTAGATAGTCCCCAGACTGTCCCAGTCCAACCAAAGGTAAAAAGTGCAGTCCACATGCTAATCTTCTCTTTGATGGATCTGTACACTATCATAGAAAGGGCAGTGGTCAGTCCAGCCATCACAGTCATAGTGTATCCAAAGGCTTCTTTCCAGGCGTTTAACAAAGAATTGTCTTCATCAACAATATTAGGGATCATGACAAGACAAACACCTAAGATGCTACAGACAACTGTAGCTATGTCAACATAAGCCATTTTCTCATCTACAAGTAAAAATGCCAGAATAGCACTGAAAACTGTTGTTGTGGCTCTCCACATAGTGGTTCCATTGCTAGGAGGAACTATTGAAAATGATGTATAAGCACAAGTAATAGAAATGACATTGCACACACCATAAAAGAAGAGTCGTAATCTGTATCCACTGGGTCCAAAGGGGGGCTCCTGATAGTAACACACAACCAACACTGATAAGATCTGCAAGACAGAACGGATGAAAATCAATTCTAGAGATGGGACTTTAGAACGATCAGAAACAAGCCTAGTGATAAGAGCTACACATCCATGAGCCAAAGCAGAACCAAATAGCACAATCCATGTCTTTCTTGACTGAAAAATATTTTTTTCTGCAAAACTCTGGAATTTTCCAATCTCGTTTGCCATTGGGTCTTCTGTTGGTAGAGGTCGGGTATTCATAGTTCCAAAGAGAGTTCTTCCTTTTCTTTTCATTTCACTTAGCAAGCTTTTCTTTGGATTTTCCTCCATGAAATTTCCATAATCTTCATTGATTTCTTCATATCGATCATCCCCAGGTTGGGGATAATGAGAAGTATATTTCACCATCACTGTGTTGGGATGTATTTTCACTCGTTTTTTAACTGGATATTTTTTGGTGGGAGATGTATCCATTTCTTCAGATAATCAGTTCTATTTAAAAGAAAATAAAAAGACATAGATATTCAGTTGAACTTTAGTTTAAATTTCATTCAGTAACAGAAAGTAAAGGTTGTAATAGGTTAATTTCTTTGTTTTTAAATAACAGGAAGAGACCATCTGGCTATATGCCTTACCAGATACAACCTAATTAAACTGTCTTTTTTTCACTCTCAAATATGCCCCCGTTTCTCATTGTGCTTATTCTTTGATTCATTTAGTTCTATTTCCTGTCTTTATGTAACAATTGATCTTTTTCACTCATTCACTTCCTATTTGTTGCCACCAATCCAACAAGGAAAGGATAGAAAAATAAGTAACAAGTTAGATCAAACCTTTCCAGTGTCTATTTATCTGTGCTATAAATTTTGAATAAAAGGTAAAGGTAAAGGCCCTCCCGTTGATTGTCGATTTGCTCGAGCGGGCCCAGTAATGTCTCCATTGGAGACTTTGTTGTTACTGTGTCTGGCATATCGAATACTCTCGGTAGCTTGCCGGGCTCTCCGAGAGGGGCGGAGGAATCAAACTCGGGTGGGCCATGTTGGCCACTTGTAAGGAGAACGCCCATAGGTTTTTTAAAATTCATTCTAGGCTTTCCATACAATTTCAGATACAGTGATTAAAACTAGGAATTTAATTTATTTAATTTATTCACATAAAAATTTATTTATTTATTTAATTTATTCACATAAAAATTTATTCAATTTATTTAATTTAATTCACATAAAAATTTATTCACATAAAAATTTATTCACATACATGAATTGTTCACATATATAATCTTTCTGATGAGCCATTGGACAACATGTACTAAAATTGAAATTGAAACTCCCTTTCAAGGATGGAGCAAATAGTGCAACAGGTAGGGCTTTTGCCTTGCATGTGTTGGGCCCATTTTTGATCCCTGGCATCCCATATGGTCCCATGTGCACTGCCAGGAATAATTCCTGCGTGCAGAGCCAGGAGTAACCCCTGAGCATTGGCAGTTGTGAAACAACAAGCCAAAAATAAAAAAAGGAAAAAAATAAACTGCCTTTTAATTCAGCAATACCAATTCTAACATTTTACCCCAAAGAAATTGTCACCAGATACTTAAAAACCGTATGTACTAAAAAAAAAAAAAAAAGGAAAAGTTAAACTTGTATTTCTTTATTTAACATTGTGAAAAATACAAAGGAAACCAAAAAGAAGGGGAGAGGGAAAAAACCTTTTTAAAAATTTTTTTAATTAGGGCGTTCGCCTTACAAGCGGCCAACATGGCCGACCCGAGTTCAATTCCTCCGCCCCTCTCAGAGAGCCGGCAAGCTACCGAGAGTATTCGATATGCCAAACACAGTAACAACAAAGTCTCCAATGGAGACATTACTGGGCCCGCTCGAGCAAATCGACGATCAACGGGAGGGCCTTTACCTTTACCTTTACCTTAAAAACTGGGTAATGGGACTGGAGCAATAGCACAGCGGGTAGGGCGTTTGCCTTGCACGCAGCCAACATGGCCGACCCGAGTTTGATTCCTCCGCCCCTCCGCCCCTCTCGGAGAGCCCGGCAAGCTACCGAGAGTATTCGATATGCCAGACACAGTAAAAACCAAGTCTCCAATGGAGACGTTACTGGGCCTGCTCGAGCAAATCGACGATCAACGGGAGGGCCTTTACCTTTTACCTTATTGAATCACAGTGATACATCTACAAAGTTGTTCATGATTGCACCCATCCCTTCACCAGTGTACTTTTCCTACTACCAATGGTCCCAGTTTCCCTCCCTTCCCCCACCCCCATGTCTGCTACTATGGCACTCTCCCCTCTTCCTTTCCCCTCTCCCCTCTCTCCTCTTTCTCTCCTCTTTCTATCCCCTCTCTCTCTCTCTCTCTCTCTCTCCCCCCCCCCTTGGTTCTTATGGTTTGCAATAAAGATAATGAAAGGGGGAAAAAAACTTTTTTAATATGTATTTTTTTTCACTACACCCCAAATACTCAGTGTTTACTCCTAGCTCTGCACTCAAGGATCACTTCTACCAGTGTTTTGGGGATCATATCAAGTGCCAAGATCAAACCAAGTCAGCCTGTGCCAGACAAGCACCCTAAGCTCTGTACTATCATTCCAGCTTCCGATGTACATTATTTTTGTGGGTGGGGGTCATATCTGAAGATGCTCAGAGGTTACTCCTGGCTCTGCATTTAGGAATTACTTCTGGCAGTGCTTGGGGGACCAAATGCAATGCAGATAATCAAATCCTGGCTGGTCACCAGCCAATCGAGCTCTTACCTGCTGCTATACTATCTCTCCATCCCCGCAATGTATACTTTTGATATCTTTATTTTTAATCACTATTGTTTACCAAAAAATTAAAACTAAATATGTTAATCTATTCTTTAAGAAAAACAGAGAGAGACAGTGGGGGTGGGGAATGTGTGATTAGGAGGGTTCCTTGTAGCTACTAAATGATCCTTCAAACAATGGAACTAATATATACATCTTTTGAAAACAGCTATGCACAAACGTTTATTGACATGAAAAGATGTTCATGATTTTGTTGGGTGAAAGAAAAACTAAAAACTTTTAAAGATTAAGTAAGGTAGTGCATATAAATAATTTGCCACCGTATTGGCATATAGCAATGTTAACCAAAAAAATCAGCTTTCTTCCCCTATAATTTACATTTTCTGAAGTTCCAGAGTATCTTCTACTAAATTATTCTTTCTTTGAGACCTGTATTTGTTCACTTATCTTTGTTTTCCTTCTTCTTAAGAACAATTTATTTCCTTCCTAGTCATTTCTCCCTTACCACCACCACCACCAACAAAAAGAAGACAGTAAACCTTTTTTATTTACTCCCTTTTTGACATATTCCCTTTAACTGGCCAAAAATTCATCAATTTTAGAATCATAAACTGGTTTATCATGGTCCAGAAATCAAATCCTATTTTGTATTTATCATGGTCCAGAAATCAAATCCTATTTTGTATTTTGACATCACCTGCATTGCCAAATGTTTCATTTCTATTTCCTCTTTTTTCTTAAAATCATCTCCTTCAGTGGGATGATTTTAAATAAAAAACTGGGGCTGAGGGATAGTACAGTGTATAAAGCATGTACAAAGTTGTGCACACAGCTAACCTGGGTTTGATTGCTGGTACCACATATGGTTCCCCAGGCCTACCAGGAAGTGAGTCCTGAGTGAAGCTGAGTGTGACCCAAAAAAGAAAAGTAAAACAAAACAAACATATCCATCAACAACAACTACACCTCCAAGCCTTTCAATTCCTAGTGTGAACCTTACTTCCACTTGCAGTCTTTTTATCTACTGAGCTACCTAGTGATCTGCCTAGTGAATTCCCAACCCCCCACCCCCAACTTTTGTCAGGATATTTCCATTTCAAATCATAAATTCAGTTTTACTAGTCCCAAAATGAATAGACTTGGTTTTCCAAATATATTTCCTATTCCTAATATTCTCATTTATGTTTATGAGACCACCACAGTTCAAAGATTAATGAATACTCAGGAGATTTGGGGAGAGTAGCATGCTGTTGGGCTGGAGAAATAATACAATAGGTAGGACACTTGCCTTGCACTCAGCTGATATGTATTCGATCTCCTAGCACCACCTATGATTCCCCAGGTACTGCCTGGAGTGATCCCTAAGAATCACTGGGTGTAGCATGCTCACCAAGCACTTGATAGTTATATATGTTTTCTCCACAACTTGCTGCATGCTTCTGTTGTGTAATGATGTGAAATTTCAAATTCTTGTTTCGAACAAAGTTGTATCATGAATTTCTTTTGAAGAAAATGTCTTGGAGGACTGAAGTGATAGTACAGTGGATAGGGCACTTTCCTTGTACATGGTTGACCTGGGTTTGATCCCCTGCATCCCATATGGTCCCCTTGCACTGCCAGAAATAATTCCTGAGTCCAGAGCAGGATTAACCCCTGAGCATCCCTCAGTGTGACCCAAAATCAAACCAAAAAAGATATCTTTGGTTTATGTTGTTGTCATTTTTGGTTTCAGGATCTCACCCAACTATGTTTAGAGCTTACCTTTAGCTCTGTGCTTATGGATTACTTCTGGCACTTCTAGGGAGACCGAAAAAAAAATTAAGATAAATTTCAGAGCAACCCAGATGGAATCATTCTAAGTTGGACAAAAGTTTGTTAAGCATCAGTCATTGCTTAGCAAACAACAGTCCATCTGTATATATTTTAAGAAACAAAAGTAAGGCACATACTCATTTCTTCTGTAATATTTAGATTAAAGCATCCTTGAAATAGGTACACAATCTGGGTTTAAGCCCTGGTACCACATATAGTCAGTTTGCCAAACCAGGCCAGGAGTGATCCCTGAGTGCAGAGAAAAGTAAGGCCTGAGCATAGCTAAGTGTGGGCCCAACCAAAAAAATTCCTTTTCAGTAAAAGTAGAAGGAACTATCAGATAAGACAATAACAATACCATCAGTAGCCATAGAGATACTTATATTTAGGTAGACATGCTAAGCACTCGGGCTGGAGCGATAGCACAGCGGGTAGGGCATTTGCCTTGCAAACGGCCAACATGGACAACCTGAGGGGGTATGGTGCCGCCAGTAGGTCAATCTGTACCTGTGAGGCGAGTGCATCAGCAGCCTGATGGTGCCTACAGACTTCCAGATACCATAAAGTTGCTACTGTGCCTATGGCCAGACCCCAAAAACTGGGAGCAAAGTTTACCAAGAAAGTAAACAGCCAAAAGTTAGGTATGTGGGAGACACACCCACAAACCACCTTGGGCTCAGCTATATAAATAATTGGAGGCATGGCCTCTCTGGTTCCTGATCAAACTGCTTAATGGCAATGATCCCAGAGACTCAGAAACAAATCTCGAAACTCAACAGCTTTTGGCAGAAATGCGTCCAGTCTCTGCAGTAGGTTACCGGCGCCGGGCCATCCCAGGTGGGAATAGGTTTCATGCCTTAGCCTGTTCCTCCTGGTGGCCCGGTGGCTGTCATCCTCCAGAGG